GCGACCGGCTCATGAATCCTGGTCCTCTTCTGGGGTCTCGAATTCCAAGGCGAGCGAAGCGAAATAGGAGAGCTCGACATCCATGATGCGGGCTCGCGGCGTGGCTGCGCGGGGGGCGCGGCCGCTCGCTGCTGCCACCTGGTGGACGCGCCGGTGCGTATCCAGGCCCCGCCCCGCCGGGGTTTCTCCCTGGGTCCTGGGGAGTGAAGGGGGATGGATGGGGCCCTTGCGTCCTGGGGCCAGCAAGGGGATGCCTGAGCGCTGTTTCCCCTCCCTGAGTACTGGGTTCTAAAAGCTAAACAATGATAGGAAAATAGACACGTCATCGGGAGGGGCTGTGAAGAAAGGATTGGCGTTGCAGGAAGACAGTGTTCGCTTCTAATCCTGCTTCGAAACAGATGGGTGTAGTCTGGTCTTGAGCAGATCAGTGCCGTCTGCGTCATCTTCCTCAAGTGAGGAAGGTGGCGGCTGGACAAGTGGGTGAGACATTAGGGGTTAAGAAGACTTAACTTCTGTCCCTACCTCCCCCTTCGTACCCCTTATCACTGATTCATTTGTTACAGTTGTTTATCATCTCTCTTCCCCATGAGACTGTTAACTCTATCAAAGTATGGGTCTTGTCCGTAAGATTCATTGCCAGGCCCTCAATACCTAGAAAAGCACCCAACACGTGGTAGGTATCGATAAATATTTGTTGACAGAACGTCCTGGGTCTTCTCTGGGTCTAATATCACGAAGCCCTCAGAGTAGAAGGTCTAGGAATCCCCACCTTGAAACACTTCCCTGTCTGAGGCAAAGAGCTGGCATGTGGCCTCATGACTTAACCTCACTGGTTCACCCAGTTTTGTACGGCCACTAACTCTTGTCCAAAAGTTGTTTTTTCCCCCTATAGTTTTTGTAGGCGTGTATTACAGAAAACTGTATTCTGATTTTCTTGGCCATGATTAATTCAGTGGGGTGAGGTTCTTTATATTTCCCTGACTACCTACCCTGTCACCTTGTGAACCTAGTTCATGGTCACAGAAGCATCACTTTTGAGTAGAAAAACAAGACTGAAAGGCCACATAGTCCCTGTCTACAGAATGACTCTGGTTAGAGTATGCATAGAATCAAAAAGCTGTGAACACATCCCCAACTTATAGACAAGGAAACAGTGGGTCAGAGAGGCTGAGCTACCTGCCCTCAGACACACAGCATCTGGTGGCAGAACTGAACCATATCTTCTCATTTCTAGCGTGGTCCCTTGTGAGAGTGAGTCAGGGCACCAGAATCTGGGATGTCAGGGTAAGGGTAGATAGCCCTCCTCTTAAAACTAGGAAAAGAACATCTTTTTTAGATAAACACAATGTTTCTGCCTTACACAGAGTGAAAAAATTTGATATGGCTCTTGACCCCAAGACGTGATAGCAGTTAAAGGATCTTTAGATAAATTGAAGGGTCATTGGATTTGAAACACATTTCAATAGCTTTTTAGGAATTTCTTTGAGTGGAGGAGGTGTAACTGCAACCTCCTCACAGTTTTGTTTGTATAACAATCACCTGAGAGATCTGCAAAAAATGGTTCCTGGTTCTCTGGCTCTGCATGTTAAACAAGGATCCCAGGTGATTCACAGACCCCTCTTTGCTTCTGAAAAGGCCTAGAACAGCTTTCAAAACACAGTAGTGCTTAATAATTATTTAAATGAGTCCCAAAGATCTCGTTAGAGACCTCCTACATTTCTCAGATTGAGATTCCTTATCCAATCCCCAAGTTACATGTACCTTGCTAGGTTCTACTATTTAGAAAAAAAGATATTTTTTCCCTGGGAGAAAGTTCATATAAATTAAATATGTAAAATTAATAGGCCTGTTCACTGAACACACTAAGTTATCACCCAAAGCCTCAAGGTTTGCAGAACTTTTCAGAGTTCAGGTTTACATAGTCAAATAAAAGCATATTTTTCATTCGTTTATTCATTTACTGAGTATCTACTTTGTGCTTGGCCCTGTGCTGGCAGGTGGGGACAACAAGACAAACAAGGACCCTGCCCTCCTAGAACATAAATCTTTTGGTGGGAAGTGGAGGTAGACAACAATTAACTCAGCCAAGTGTGAATCAGGTAAACCAGGTGGTGGCTTGGTTAAGAGCCCAGGAGCACTTACCAGCCTGGCTGATTTTCAATCTCAGCTCCATCACTTCCAAGCAAGAGACTCAGCCTCTGTGAGCCTCATATTCAACTGTAAAACGGTTATAATATGGTGCCTACCTCACGGATTGCTGTGTGTGTGAAAGTACTCAGTGTAATGCTTGGCAAGTGAAGACTTGACATATGTTAATTATTAGTATCATCCCTCACTTATACTCACCCCCTAAGACAGTCTGGTCAATTTTCTACTGACCTGTTGGGCTTTTCCACAGAGCAGTGGCCATGAAAGTATGCCTCAGAGTTCTCCAACGACAGAGGGCTTAACTGACCAGCTCTTCATGTCCAGGGTTCTTTTTAATACCTAACCCAGCGGGCTGCTGATGAGTTCAGCTCTTTGAAGGGACCATGGATCTACTCTAAAAAGCCCCGATTAGCTTCTGTTGGGGAAACAATCTCATTTTCCCTGCGCAATTTCAAGGATAGGGAGAAAAGGGTTAAAAGAAGCTAGAGAAGCTATACGGGTGAGGATGTCCACAACAATGGAGGCAGCCGGGAAAGACGCAGGAGGAAGCTGGGGGTGGGATCCTCGGTGGAATGGGCTGTGAAAATCATCAGGAAAGCAGAATCCCGGCTCTGCCCTTGCAAGAGAATGGAGCCGAGACCCGAAGAGCAGAGGGTCCCTTTGTTTGGAAGTTTGTTTTGAACTTTAAGACTCCAGAATGGAGATAAACAAGTCTCCCTCGGAAATAGTCAAATGCTCCTGGGTGTTGGAAAACCAGCTGGCAAAACCATTGGGAAACAGACTTTCCACCTTCTTCAGGGGGAAAGAGGAAAGCTGGGGGGCCAGTTTCACTCCGAGTGCTCCCCCCATAACGCTTCTCTTCTTCTCTGACTTCCTGTCCCCACACAGAGTGGTCTGGCTCCCCTCCCCACTCTCTGCCCCCTCATTGCTGTTATGGACGGACACAGCCCTAGACCCCCAGCTTTTCTTTCCCATTGCCTTTCTCGTGTGCCCTTCCAGCTCCATCCTACACGTCTGCCCTCCACATCAGCCTGCCTCCTGTCCACTCCTGCGCTGCTCCCGTCCACTCATGGGTACGCTCTCATCCATCCTCCTCTTGAACACAAAATCCTTCTGGCCTGTGAGGGATGGGAAGGCTAGGCAGAGGTGCTTGTGATCTGAGAGTTTCTACTTGCCATCCCTAGGCTGTTTGAATATCTCACCAAGAGGGAGTACTCCCTTTATTTTTATTTGAAAAATAGTATGCAGTTGTTAACATGAGACAGATCTACATGTGGTCATGAGGGAAGATTTTCATTGTATGTGATTAAATAAGAAAAGAACATTGCAGAAACATATATATAGTATGTTCTTTGGGATAATGTATATATGTGGGTATATTTTATTATGTATGATATAATACATATATAATATAGAGAACATATAGGATATATACAATATATCATCTAAAATAGTGAAATCATTTTTCTACAAATGGGATCCTATGTAGGTGCTACATGTATGTATACCTATAATGCATCGAGAAAGACCTGGAAGGGCACACTCCTAATTACCAGGCCCTTGGATTAAGGTAAGTTTTTGGATTATGTAGGTTTAACCAAGTCAGCTGGACAAGTGTTAGATGTAAGAGATCTGGGCAGACATTAATTTGAAGGACTAAGGTTTTTAGTTCATTTTTTCATGCTTTCAACAACTTCTGATTGTTTATTCTATGCCAGGCACCATGTTGACCAGAAATAGGGGGAGGAGTCAATACATAAGTAAACACAGACTTATGATTACAATCTGCAAAGTAAGAGCGGAGGGGCAATCATGGACACCTGGAAACAG